ACTTTTCTACAGTTTCGTTCTTCCTCTCAGGTCATCATTCTTACAAATTAAATATGTATTTCTAATCCTCAACACATACAGAATCTAATGGGATCATTAATTTCTCAAACAGAAATATTCTAATTTTTCCAAAACTTAGCTTACAGGCACTTTTCTATAATTTCGTTCTCTCTCCCAGATCATCATTCTTACAAATTATTGGCATATTTATGACCCTCATCACATACAGAATCTAATGGGATCATCCATTCCTCAAACAGAAATCATCCAACTTTTCACAACCTAACTTACAGACACTTTTCTATAATTTCGTTTTCTCTCCCAGAGCATCATTTTTACCAATTAATCATATATCCATGTTCCTAAATACATACATAATCAAATAAGACCAATAATTCTTCAAACAGAAATAATTATAAAATTAGGGTTCTTCCTCTACCCAATTTCCTCATGTAACTCTACATATAAATAATTCCCTTTTCCCCCGTACCTGGATAAGAAGAAGCTGAATCTAGATATGTAGAAGCTGAATCTACACTAGATCTGGTTGATCTCCCTCGCTGGGTTCCCCTCGGTCTGAAGCAGAAAGTAGAGGAAAGAAGAGAGAGAGCAGAAGAAAAGAAATCAGAAATGAGAGGTGTGCTTTTTGGGAGTGGCAAACAGCTCTATATATAGGCATTCTGCGCCGGAACGGCCCGTTCCAAATCCGGAACGGCCCGTTCCGGACCCTTAAACCATGGCTAAAAATCACATCCAGAACGGCCCGTTCCAAAACCAGAACGGCCCGTTCTGGTGTGCATTAATTACACCCAACGACCATAATTTTGGGAACGCCCCGTTCCAAGCCCGTTCCCATTTAGGGTTAATGGCATATTTAATAGTCCGGAACGGCCCGTTCCATCTTGAGAACGGCCCGTTCTGGGCTATTAACTCACATACAATTTGGTAGTTTGGAACGGCCCGTTCCAATTCCGGAACAGCCCGTTCCAAGCTACTAAATCACCCCTATCTCTTTTATAAAATTACCAAAATACCCTTAATTAAAATAAATAATTAAAAAGTGAAATAAAAACTGGGGTGTTACACCAACATGGTAGAAGCTCTTCACACAAGAGGGGAGTTTTGGAGTTGAGTACTCAAGATGCAATGTTAGCTCAAAACAAGATACTCTCCCAACAAATTGAAGCTTTGAATCAATAGATGGCCAAGCTACCTCAACAACTTCAAGCTATGCAAACTAATGCCCCTCCTATGCAACAAGTTTTATCGTGTGATTTTTGTGGAGGTGACCACCCTAATGGTTATTGTGCCGAATCATCTAATTCATGTGAGTGTATCGTAACTGATGTGTTTGGAAGGTCAGGTGAGGCAGTATGCATTGAGACAACACCTGTATTGCCAGGTAACTACTTTGATTACTTGAGCATTCTTTGTTTACAATTTTATTCCTCTTTGCATTTTCAGCCAGAAAGAATATAGCTTTAATCTGCCTGTTTAGTTAGGTGTTCTTGGTATGTCTACAACAACTAAGAGGCAGTTAGGCAGAGAGAAGTATATAAAGGGATAATGGGATGCACTAACTCGATGTGTTAAGCTTCCTATCATGTATTTATATGAAAAGAACAAGAAGAGGTGCAAATGTAGCATGAACAAAGCCCTTCTTAATAAACCTAAATATAATTTTATTATAGAACTTTTTCAAGCTGTTGCACAGTTATCATGCTCAGCTTGTTCAAAATATAATTAACCTGATCACAACCAGGAGCTTTGGTGAACATGTCAACCTGTGTTTACCTAGTGTTCACTTGGTATAGAAATCACTCTGCTAAAGTTTCCCAATAGGAAAATGGCAATCAACCGCGGTTTGTTTTGCTTCTTATTTAATACTGGATTAGTGGCAGTGTGTGAATAGCTCCTTGAATGTCAAACCACAATTGCCTGGGATTCCCCCTGTGGAACAATATCCACATGCCTGGTTTGGAACATTTACTAGGTGACTGTGGAATTTGGTTTATCTTGTATGGTGTCAATGGAAGACATAATGATCAGAATGTGATAGGGACTGTTCTAGGGCTTTAAGCTCCTTATTACACAAACAGTTCCCGCTAAGTCTCTAAATTCTAAAATACTTAATGTGCATTCATGTTGCTTGCATCAAAGACTTGGTTTCCTTTCTCATAGGAAATACACAATGGATTTGCAAATTGAAATCGCACTGCCTGATGCCCAATCATGTGATTCTTCATCCTATCCTAAAATACTTGTAGTTTTGTTATCTAATGAACATTATTGCCATTTCTTTGTGTGATTGGTTCTCCCTTAAGTTTTTTGTTGTGCATTTTCAGGGATTCCTAGAATACACAAGCTGGAGATTGAGGGAAGGGGATTTCATACCAATCTCTATGCTGTTCGTGGCATTTACAGTGGTGGGAAGGAAGGGAAAAGTAGAGTTCAGTGGCTTAGATCAATGGTTGGAAGTCCTGACCTGATCTCTATACCAGGTATGCTAAATGCTTAAACTTAAATAAAACTTCTATTACAGTCACAGACATTGTGGCTACTGTGAAGCAAATAATAATGAGAGTCAATCGAACCCTTTTTTCACAATTTTTCACTTAGCACTCTTTTTCCCCCTCCTAGAATGCATCAAGTAGCTTCCCAACACTCTAACCGACCACCATTATTAGTTGGCTCCCTCCAAACATCCCACATGACCACAATACTCGCAATGAATCTTAATCTTTTTCAAATGCCTCACAAAACTGATTTGGAATGAATTATACTTAGTACACACAGTATAGATTTAGGGAGTCAAGAACAGAGAGTCTCTTATGCCATTGGTCACTTATTCTCACCATATATAAAAGGAAGGATATATAAAAGATATATTTTTTTCACCAAAGGATTATATTTTTATTTATTAGACCCGGGTTATAGGCCTGATAGTTGATACATGCCCAAATAGTACCCATAATTACTCAACTTCAGTACTTATTCTTTTAACATGTTTTTGGTATGTACCCACGACTCATGGTGTATCTGGTACGTGTACGACATTACTTTAGGAGTACCCGTGCTTCAGTGATGCTCCATAATATACATATAGATCCAGTTTTCTCTTGCTTTCAACATCATTACTTACATTACTTGTTGTCTGTCTTCATTAAGCCAACTGCTTTTTATTTTCAATGATTAAATTACAGGAGAAACAGGCAGAATGTATGAAGCGAATGTTGATGATGTTGGCTATAGGCTGGTGGCTATCTATACTCCTGTAAGAGAGGATGGAGTAGAGGGACAATCAATTTCAGTATCCACAGAGCCAATTGCAGTTGGTAAGCTGAAATTCTCTATCTAATTAATAACAGTTTTTGTATAATTAAATTACCTTTGACATTATGTAGTAATCCAGGGTATGTTGAAATATTTGCTGTTAGTTTTATCTAAATGTTTATGAATTCATTAAAAATGATATACAAACAGTAAATGTTTGACAACTCATCCAGAGTATTGGACCCTTTGAAAAATGGGTATTAGACTATTCAATGGTTTTAGTGTTCATGGATACTAGTGTCTAGGAAGTTGCATCACTTGTTATTATCCTAGAGAATAGTTTCTGCTAAGTCTATCAAGAGTCTTAATTTATGGATAATATGCAAAACCTATGCTCTACACATTCTCAATCTCTAAACTGTCTAGAATATTGTGTTATATCTTACTCTAAATCCCCCCCTCTTAATTAAACATGATATTAGAGAAGTACCATCTACCTTGACCTGTCCTATCACAATGACAGTTCCATTGCCAAGTTCCTTTTAAATTTGGGAATCCTTTATTTTAATGTATTTTCTCTCTTCTGTGGTTTCTGCACCCTGTTTTCCAGCATTCTAAAACACTAATTCTGGCCATTCTCTTTCTTCCAAGTTTTCTGTGTTGGTTTTTTGCTCCTCTACTGTGACATCTATGGTTTAATTTCTCATCTGGTGTGTTGTCTCCTCTGGTGCTTCTAGTCACTTTTCCCGTTACTGTTACCACTGAGTTTTTCAATTGTGGTTGTGGTTTCGTTATATTTATTCATATCTAGTGTTGCACTTGCAGCAACATGAAAAACCTTGACTTTCTAGCCAAAATTGCAGTTGTGGACTGTTTTTTAGAAACCTTGGTTGCCACTTTAGTTCCACCACCAAAAGTTTTCTGGCAATTTTCTGGTGGCATTTTCCTCTGATGTTTCTTCTTTTCTTCTCCACAACATTCTATTTTATATTTCATTTATTTAGATGAAAAAATGAAGTTTTTTGTCACAACCTTAAAGTTTTAGTTCGAGCTGTTGAAAATAATGACATTTAATGAATTTAGGAAATACAATGATCATTTATCTCATATTTCAATGTTATTTAGTGTTCATGGTATTTGCAATATTTTTTAAACCGGACTGATCATTGAACTGGATGTCAGGCCGGTCCGCTTTGGTTTTAATAACTATGGTAGTTATGTCTAGGAAGTTGCATCACTTGTTACCATAGGGAATTGTCTCCAGTAAATATATTAAGAGCCTATATATATAATATATGAATGATATATATAACTGTATTATATATTCTCTTGAATACGGACCGATATGCAGAGCCTATATTAATGCTTTCTTGTAAGAATATTGATTTAATTCAACTCCTATCATATTTAAATTTGAAACTAAGTGGGATTTCGTGTTCTCTCATTAACATACCTTCCTAACACTTCTAGACATCTAGTTTCTTTCCTTCTTTAAACCTGTGTAATGAGTATTATAGGTAAAGGGGAGTCTCTTATGCCAAGGATTAGAGTTTTGTTTCTGAGATCTCTTGTTTGTGAAGAGAAGCCTCATATAATCATATTCCTCATGTGTTTTTGCTATTTTGTTCTTCTTTCTCAACAAAAGTCAGTAGTGAGCTGCAAGGTTGTCAAGCTCTTCTGAGTTTATCATCCTAAGTAGAAAAAACAAGTTAGCTCTATAGTAAACTCTTTTTTAAGTAAATCCTTTAAACTCGTGTAAGCTTTTATAAACTCTAGTCAAGAAGCGAGTTAAGAAATTTGAAATCAATGTAATTTTTTTTCCTTTTGACTCTACAATGTTAGTATTTTACATGGTTCATATGATTTGAAGAAATTAACTCCTTTTGAAATAATTTCACTTTAGGAACTGTGTTTTTATGAAATTATATATAATTTGATCATGTACGTGGTTTAATCTTATTCACCACTAATGTACTATAACACTTTATTATTGTAGTTTAGTACTTTTGCCTTTTTATGGAGTTGAAATGTCGAATTATTATTTTATTAAGTATATTATGTTATACATATATATGTTATTGATGGGTTTTTTAGTGTTATTTTTATAATAAGGAAACTCTTACAAGTTTACGATTCAAACTGACGGGTCAAGTTCCCAGAAACTTCACGACTTTATGTAGAATCTTGAGTTTGACAATCTTGGTGAGCTGAGTGCAGACAACTGTGTACAACAATTATGATGCAGTGATTAATATTGTAAAGTGCAGAGAGCAGGAGAGCAAAGCATTAAGTTTTTACACTGGTTCAGGTTGACCCAAAAATCCTTAGATAAATTAAGCGACTGGTATTTGTAAACCCATTCATCGGTGTTAATCTAGTGTCATGGGCTATGTATAGATATTCCTAATAATGGGGTATGACCCAATCTGGTCATTTATTATAGTTGCAATGGCAACTATTCAAAATTTGACGGTGTTTCCTTTTGGGCATATCTTTTCTTGTCTATGTGTTCTACTGTGTGGTGCAGTTTTGCCTCTTTGGTTTGTGGATATGGATAGTTTGGAATTCTTTTCATTTCTAGCATTTTTTTTAATGAATTTCCACCCTGAACTTATCTGAATGTTTTTTAAATGCAGAGCCTGATGTTCTAAAAGAAGTGAAACAGAACCTTGATCTTGGATCAGTGAAGTTTGAGGTGGGATATGTCTATAAATTCGGTTTTATTGTCATTGCAATAATATGAAAATGTGTTGATGATTGAGAAATGCTAGTTACAATACGCTTTCTTGAACGCATTATTAGCTGAATTTTATTGGGAATCCCAAGATTTTGTATGTCCACTCGTCATTTAATGAACCTCTATTGAAGATTTAATAGTTTATAATAAGTGTTAGTCAACAGTGAAAAGTGTCAGATTGTGTATTGTTAGCCATTCTTGTTGATTATTTGTTCTAACTACTCCATCACAAGGTATAACAATAAAATAAAATAAAAACTTTGTGATATATGTATTTAAATTATTAGTTATTGACTTGTGTTTGGAAATTCTAGTTTGACTAAGTTGATACGTGGTTATTAGAACAAGAAACCTATATAGCTATGACAATGTCTAAAAGTTAATTAAACAGGAAGAAAAATAATTTGATGGTGACTCAAATGTAAGGATGGAAAAATGGGCTAGTCTGGTCTGGCCTGTTTAGACCCAACCCACCATTGGTCCGCCAAATATAGAGTGGGTCGGGTTGGCCGTCAGTAGAAAACTGGCTATAAACCCTGGCCCACTCCCACTCAAGGGTAGGTTAGCGGACCTGCTTGTTGGCTTGCTAATAAAGATAAAAAAAAAACAGTTTGTATATTTATTTTAAGTTAGTCTTCCAGCATATTTTTTTTTCCATATCTAAAGGATCTATATAAATCAGTCTACCTAAATAATAAAAAAATCTCGAATTACATATAATAAAATAAATCAAATGCACAACAGACTTGTACAATAAATCATAAATTATACACAAAATAAATTTGAAATGACTTAATTAAATTTATATTAAAAATAATAAATGAACAAAATATTTAAAAAAAAAAAGGGGTTGTTGGGTCAGCTTGCTATTTGGCTCGGTAGGTTGGCGGACCAGAATACCTAGCCTGACCCACAAATTTTTGATGGGGTCAGTATGAGGATTGTGACCCGTTTTGTCACCCCTACTCAAGTGCGGCCATGTGTTTGGTTTAATGTCTAAGTTCTAGCACTATTGTTTTGGTTTCTTAAGGAAACCTTTCATAAATTTTTGGAGAACAAGCCTTGTTTAAATTACATTGATCGAGTATTTGAATTGTTAAAACTAGTTTTTGATAGAGTTGTCAATTTGGATTTGGCCGGTCCAAAAATAAGGCCAGACTCAACCTTAAAACAGATGATCTAAATAGAATCAAACCATTTTGGTATGACCCACTAAACCTAACAAGTCAAATAGCCTCAATATAAATTTAATTAAGTCATTTCAAATTTATTTTGTGTATAATTTTGATTTATTGTACAATAAGTCAAATAGCCTCAAGTCTAGTTGATCCATAGGATAACGGACTGATTTATTAAACTAATAATTGAAATAATTTAAATTAACATCAATTTGCAATGTGCTATAAAATAATAGAATAGAATATAATAATATTGCAATAGTAATAATCTTTCATTTTTTTGTATTTGCTTGTGTTTATAAGTTTAAAGTTAGGTTAGTCGTTTGTAGTAAAGTGCTTTTAATTGAATAGGAAAAACTAAAGAATGTGTTACCTACTATTTTGGGTAGAATGTTTAACATGACATCTGTAACTACCCTAGACTATATGACTGATAGCTTATCATGTTGATTTAAATTGGAGGCTAAATAGTAAGCTGCTTTCATATTGTAAATTGGATAGTTCACATACTATGTTAGAATTATCTGGAAATTACTTGGAGCTCTTAAGGAGTGAGGGATAGATGAAAAAATATTTTCCCTCAAATTGAATAATGTCTCTTCCAATGATGGTTGGTCAAAATTTTAAGAGAAAGTATGAATTTTATTATTTGTTGATAGTGTTACATTTGTTTTGCAGCCTTTAATTATTATTTATCATATTGTTATTTGAGTATTAAATTACAAACAGTGTAATATAATAACTAGGTTGGGCTTTCAACTTGAAGGAAAAAAATAACAAATGGAATCAACATAATTTATATGTAAATATTGCTAAAATAACTTGTAATTAACTTGTAGTGATAGGGTGTTTCATGACTACACAAAAATGGCTAGGTGTTTTATGATAAGATATAGTATCAATTAATCATGTTATAATTTGTTTCTTTTTTAGTATAAAAAAATAGATTTAATTTTTTATATGTATTTTTTTAATTAGGCCATTTTGGCCTCATGGTTCAACATAGGCTTGGTTGAGTCAAAAAATGGCAGTCCAAAAATTTTATAGGCCAGACTAGTCTAGTATGAAATAACATTTGACTTGTGTAGTTCAGACCGAGTAAGTGTTGCCATGTCATTCAATGTAGCAACACTTACCCGTGTAGCAACCTCTAGTTTTTGGATAGATTGATTGCCATGTCTCTTCCCTTTTGGAGTCTTCTGTCTTCCTGTATCTCATTGATTCGTACTGTTTGGGATGTTATTCACTGAATATTAATCTCATCTAAAATTTGGTAGCTTTGCATCTCAATTTTATTTTAAGCAAAAATTTAAATTAGGGCAAGTCATGACTTTATGAAAGGCTATTTTGCATCTTACATTTGGTCTTTTAACATTTGTTTTCCCCTTTTATATCTTTAGTTTTTATCCTTCATAAGCTCATTGATTGTCGTCTGTGACAGGTATTGTGTGACAAAGACCAAAACTCAAAAAAGGTATTTATATTTTAGTCTTCTGATGTTAATGCATTCATTTTTAAAGTGGTGGAAAAGCCAAAAAGGGGCTAGTACCAATTTTGTCATAATTACTGTTTCAGATTTCATCAGTGGGCACCTATGAGAGACGAATCCTTGAAATTAACAGGAAAAGAGTCAAGGTGGTAAAGCCTGCCACTAAGACTTCTTTTCCAACTACAGAAATTCGTGGTAGTTATGCCCCTCCCTTTCATGTAAGTTTTGGTGACTTGGAAAACTCATATCACTCAATCATTATGCAATTTAAATTAAGGTCATCAAATCCTTAATTTTCTTGTATTGATCTTTAAATGTATTATCAGGTGGAGCTTTTCAGGAATGATCAACACCGTCTAAAAATTGTAGTGGACAGTGATAATGAAGCAGATTTGATGGTCCAGTCACGACACATTCGGGATGTAATTGTTCTTGTGATTCGAGGACTAGCTCAGCGATTCAATAGTACTTCCCTCAATTCCCTTCTCAAGATCGAGACATAAATTATGTTACATTGTATAGTCATATTTGATCTGGGAAACTTGGTTGTTGAGGCCAGTTTTCTCACATTTTGCTTGTCCCGAGTGTAAGTGTTGCTACATTGATTGAACGGTTATTAATGCCATTAATCATTGCAGGCCATTGGTTGCTAGATCATTTAAAGATTTTGCATCTAGATTTTCGTGCATATTTTGGATGTCTTAATGACACGCAATTTAGTGATACACGAACAGCGCTTATTCTGTTGCGTGCATGGCAATATTTGTGTTTAAATACAGCCAAGGAAACGGGGTGTTGTTTTTTATAGTAACCTGTATATATTTATTTAAAAAATAGGTAAAAAATTATTTTAATGTGTATAGTAAGGACTAGATGCGTATTATAAATAAATAAGATTTATAATAAATTATACATAAATAAAATATTAAGATTTGTTAATATCATCATTATATCAAATTGGTGAAGTGATATATTTGATAATTTTTTTAAGATATTAATTAGATCAAGTATATAAAATTTTATATATATTCTAAAATTATTGAGTAGCTCATTATATTATATTATTTTAATATATAAATAATATTTAAAAGATATTTAAATATTTGTTGTTAGATAATACATTCAAAAGAGTTTAAATTATTTGAATTTTGATACGTTGATCTGAGTGTAATATTAACAAATGTGATGGTTAAATTAGTTCAATTTTTGTTTTATAAATGTTATTAAAGATGTTATTTTACTAAATTGATAGTATAATATCAATGGATTCTAACTTGTAGATATGTATATTTTAAAATAGAATTATATTAATTTAAATTTTTATAAATGCAAATTTTAAATAAATTATATTGTTTATGAAAATAACTTATATTGTTTAAGTTATTTTTAATTATTGATAATTTATTTTAAAATTATGAACAATTTAGAAATAAGAGTAAAATATGAAAACTGAAACAAATAAAAAAGTTAAAAAATTATATAAATTGTCATTGAAAATGCCCGTGTACAAAATGTTTAGGGTATAATATTCTTAAAACATGTGGACACTAAGAGTAGTTAAAAAAATTGTATATATATATATATATTATATAAGTATAAATAATGTATTAAATTTTTAACTAATATTTTAGTTTGAACAATTTAGAATATAATTTTTTAAAATAAAAAAAATATATTATAATCAAATTTTATTAATAAAATATTTTTATTATATAAATTATAAGTTTAAATATGTTTTTAATATTTGTAAAATGAGTATTTTTTTTTGTTTTCATCATTGTAATAGTTTTTATTTATTTATTTTTTGTCACTCAAATTTTGAATTTATTGTTTGTTTTTACAATTGTGACTATTTTAACTACTTATATCTTCATTAGAATGTTATACAACCATATTTGTATGTGATGCATTATCCGTCTGTGACACTTCTATATTTTTTTTTTAATAAATTTTTAAAATAAGTGTTATATATATACATTTAAAATGATTATGAAGGACAAAATATAATAACTTTATATTTCAGAGGATGGAAATCAAAGAAAAATTTAGGGATCAAAATAAAGATTTGCTCATTTTACTTGACGTAAAGCGTTATTTATAAAATTTAGAAGGTTAAGAAATGGATTTTTTTAATAAGAATTAATTAAAACTTATTTTTTAAGAATTAAAAATATATTTAAGCTTAAATTATATTTTAAATATATGATAAATTATATTGTGATACGAGATTATATTCTATGAATAAGCTATCAATTTATTAGCCCTTGAAGTATCAATTGCTCTCCAAAATTGTGTTCCAATGAATGAAATATATATAATTGGTTTCTAAAATATTCAATATCCATCAATTTAGTCCCTCAGTTAATATATTTTACAAGCATTGAGGGACTAATTTGAAGAGGTTTTCAAAAGTTAAAGGTCTATAGTATAATTTTTAATAGTTTAAAAACTATTTGAGAAAAGGAGTGATATTTAGAGACTAAATTAATGGTTTACTCTATTTAATTATTAATATTTTGAAAATAATATAAAGAGATAAAGTGTTTAAGAAAAAATTGTAAAAATGATTGTTTTTTAAAATTGTTATTATTCAAAATAAGTATTATAATTTTTATATAGAGGATTTAAATTGTATTGTAATGTTTATTTCAATGTGTTAAATTTTAAGCAATCTGAGTTTGATTAGAATTCTTTTAATATTTTTAGTTGGATTGTAGAATCATGCAAAGGCGTGAGGTGATGGGCTAAATTTTTGGCTTGTTTATAATTAAGTGTCTTAATTGTTTTCGAACGTGTATAACAAGAAGCAGTAACTTAAAAGGCCTCATTAGTGAGGGAGTAACTTTTGTGAATTTTATCATACATACAATATTTTAATAAATTAATAATATAAAATATTATGTTTTAATTTTTTGGTTTTACTAAATATAGAGACTGAAATGACTAAAATATTCACTTTTCCTCTTTCCATTCTTGCTCCTTACAATCGAGTTGAAGACTCCTCTCTAGACACAATAGTCACCACTACCCTAAACCCTAAACCCTAAACCACTGCGAATGACACATGTAACATTGTTTGATTTTGAGTTTATCGAATAATTATATGAAATATTTATATAATTGTTGTTTTGTTGTAATATTGATGTTGTTTTTAGAACTTTGGGAGTTAAAGGACTCTTGGAGTTAAGTTGACTCTAATATAGTTTCATTTAGACTTGAGTTCGATCAACTTAAGGAAGGGTATATAAAATTTTTTATTAAGAAGTGAACTTCATAAATTTAGTTCTTAAGAAAAATATAGAAAAGTTAGAAAGAGAGACTCTAGGACCCGAGGGAGATTCCTCCCTCACTATCTCCGTAGAACCTTTTTAAACTCTTCCCCGAGCTGAGTAATAGAGGTAGATTTAAGATCAAGCTTTAGGAGCTGAGATCTTGAGTTGAGAAAGTCATATGACAAACCTGAAAACCTTGATTTTCATCCTCCTTCCCTTGATTTCTAAGGAGCTAGTGGTAATGAAAGTTTATGATTGATGATTTATAGAGTTATATTGCATGATTGTTGATTAAATACATCAAGTGTGGGTTGTATTGATTGAATTCATAAGAAATATAGAATTACTTGGGTTTTTTTGGGTTCTTTAAGGTATTTTAAAGGAGAATTTGATGATTCTTGGTAATCCTTGATTGCATGTTGAATTTTGTGTTGGTTTAAAGTTGTTTATGTTGTATGTGTATTGAATTTTAGAATGCATGTTGGTTTGGTTGTGAAATTTACAGGTTTGAGCTAATTTAAGGATTCTTCAAAGTGCAAAAATCATCATGGTGTTGAGCGTGCTTTCATGGCGCCAAACATAACTCAAGTTAGGTGTTCTTTTCCCTGATCACATCGGGCGTATGATTGATAGCATCAAACATGAGTTAGTAATGAACTTTCTAATTTGGTTACGTCAAACATGGTAATGAGAGGCGTCAGTGTGATTGCTCAAAAAACTCTCAAACTTGGCGACACTAGGCATGTGTTGAGAGGCGTCAAATGTGACCAAGACAATGACTCTTTACCTTGACAACACCGAGTGCAAGTTTAGTGGCATTGGATGTGAATCAGATAGAAGCATTGCCTAAATAATGGTGGATGTAGGTTTAGCCACGACAGACGTGATTGACATAGAGGCTCTTTGCCTTATCCACATCAGGCACAAGTAGTTTGGCATTGGAGGTGGGCGAGACAAAGGCTCTCTACCTCAATAATATCGAGTGCCCAGAGACTGGCATCGAGTGTGGTTTGTTAGACAAAAAAATTGTTTATGATTATGATTCATCATGCAATGATTTAGGATGATGTGTAATGATATTTTGAGTTGATAATAGATTGGACATGTGGTGTTGTGATACTTGTCTCAACTAAGATACATAAAAGTTAGAGGAGAATAAATTTTTTTAGAAACTAAAGTAGCCCATTGATGGAGTTTTAAGTTGTGATCCTTAGAGAGGTTAAAATGAGAACCCTTTAGTGAGTAGTTGGTTCTTGAATATGATGATATTTTGAGTTGTCTCCTCTAAATTTTATGTGGAATTGTATGGGAACCAAGTCGAGCCACACATATATAAAGTGACCAATTGAATAAGGTATGAAGTTAAGGATTGAATCCTTAACTGATTACTAGAAAGATATGTAGTATTTGGAGGATAATCGGTAGACTAATCCCATAAGAGACTTAGTTATGCATGCTAAGATCATGATAGACTCACATCCAAGCCATTCTATCCTGATAATAGTACTAGACTTTTCTAGTTTAATTGACAAAACCTAAGAAATCAATTTGGCCACCTTACCAAGATGTTGTTTCTAATTTTATACTAGTCGTTATTTCTGATTTTATACCAGCTATTGCAATTTGGTAAGATCAAGCCACTTAGACTACTCATCTCAATCGTAGGAGATCTTCGTTAGTTGATATGCGTGACAATACATTCGTTGTTCAGTTGCTTAACATTTATTATTGTCTATTTAATAATTACTCAATTGTTAGCTATTTCTTTCCTGTGTTTGGACTTGATTAGTTGTTTATCATATATTTTGAGTTGTTTACGTGATGATCAGTTGTTAATTAATTTTACTCAATTATTCCTATAAATCGTTGGTGGATGATTTCAATTGATGTTGTACGTGAATTAAGTATATGTTGTAAGTTGCTTATGTTAATTCTTTCACAAACTTACTCTTTCTTTTCCTTGTGATTGAACTACAATAGTGTTAGTTGATGTATATTATATATATGCACAAGGATTTTATGTGACCGCATAAGAGGATTTATGTTTTTTTTACTTTATTGGCAAAAATTGTTTATATTTTTTACACTCTATACATATATTTTTTGTACAAATGACCAAGTAATTATTATATGAGAACCTTAGAGTACTTGAACTCAATTATGTATTTTTATGCATAATAACTATGCTATATTAAGTGTAGAAATCTGTCAGATCGTTACAATATCGCCTCCAACACCATTGTGCAAATCGCCACCACAATCCATAACATGTTGGCACTCAACCTTTTCTTCCTTAGAGTTAGTCACAAAAATGTCACTTGTTTGCAGGAATGAGCTTGGTTGGAACGATTGCAGAAAGAGTATTCTATGTTTGTGTTTGATTTTGTTTCAATGGTGCGACATTTGGGTAACAGTGTGGACCCTCGGAAGGTGTGTTTTTTAGAGAAGCTTTTGTTGCCAAATTTGCAAAACATGGAATTGAGAATGTGGTCACGGAGTTTGTTGTTGGTGATGTTGAGTTCATTGAGCTTATGAAGGGAGGATAAGATGTCAGGGACGTGGTTGGAGATGGCATTGTTCTATAATCAAAGCATGAGGAAGTGGGTTAGTTTCATGAGTTCGTTTGGGAATGAGCCTTGGATGTGGTTGTCAGAGATGTCGAGGTGGAGGAAGAGTCTCTAGGATAATATCTTTGTTAGAATCTCACCAGTGAAGTCATTTCCTGCAAGGTATACATATACTACATCCAAGTTGGTGCAATTCAAGAGAATGTACAAGAGGGTAAATATGTAAATTCTTTTATACTATAAATATTTAATTTTTAATATGTTAAATGTATGGTAGCCTTTTAGTCTTTCATTCATATATGCAACGATTCTAATTATAGTCCATCTATGTACCACTTAACACTACACTTTAAAATCACAAAACTTACAACCTCACTAGTGAGGCACATAACTCACTGAGGCACATAACTCACTGCTTCATGTTAGAATTGTTCTTTATACTGCTTCATGTTAGAATTTTTGATGTTAAGTAGTCGAAAGAAAAAACTCTCTCTCATAATAATTCAATCATGCATATTCAAGAAATATTATCCTTCACATAGGATGCATTAATGTATTGAATGGTGTTGACTAGGGATGACAAATATACTCGTACCCGCGGGTAATACCTGAACCCGTCTCGACTTTGACGGAGAATACCCGGTTTGACTGGATACGGGTACGGGTACGAGTAAAACCCGATATATTAAATCGAGTACGGGTACGGGTACGAGTATGTACTTACCCGCCCCGTACCCGTACCCGTACCCGTACCTGTCCCCGTTTCCATTTTTAATTTAATACCCACTTTGAATTTAATTATATTAAAGAATTTTAATATTTTTTTATGTGTGATTATTTATTATAATATGAGATAAATAAATAACCTAATTATAATTATAATATAAT